TGATGATGACATCCACGATGGAGAATCGCCCGCACGATGACTGACGGTGTTTGAAGGTTGTTGTTTGAGGTTGTTTATTTGTAGTTTAACTTGAACAGAAGGCTGAGATACATACAAGTAAAGATTCGCCTGTAGTACACGCCTGTACACTGTATGATTCGGAATTTTGATTTGTGACTTCATCATGGACTCCAGTTTATCCCTTGCAGGCTCGTCTTCATCGCTGCAAGCTGTCATATGTACGCCGGAGTTGCATTGGGAATTGTCACAGATTACAAGGGCTAGGAAGCGTCAGAAAAGGCTGACCCTTAATTCTTACTCACATCCCAAGCCATCAGGACTCAAGCAGCGACAACACATGCAGTATCAAGTCCATGGAGACGGCTCTATAAGCTACACATGTAGTTATGTTCAACCACCCAAAAATGCTCAACCAACTCTGCGACCTGATCTGCCTGTATGTGTACCCACGTTGACAGATGAGTTTAATGAAGATTCGCCCGATCTGTTATGGGGTGCCGATGATGACGCTCAACGTCCGAGGAGACGACGTGCTATGGGGGTAAGTCAAGAGACCGACACAGAATCACACTTTGTCATCACCACTAACATCATTCAGGATCACCCATTGCTAATGTGGCTCAAGGATTGTGCCCTGTTCCTTCAGGAGATGTTACGACTCGAAGGACAAGGTGACATTAGTGCAGAGCCCTGTTCCAGTTGTGGTAATCTGCATCCAGAATATCGATGTGAAGACTGTTTTGGGATTGAACTCCATTGTTCCTCTTGCACAGTGGTGGCCCATAAGGATCACCCACTACATCGATTGCAGGTATGTACCAATGACTCGATGATGTACAATACGAACTAACTAGACTTACTATAGAAATGGAATGGTAATTACTTCGAATCTGCAAGTCTGAAGAGCCTTGGTCTCTGGATTCAACTCAGTCACGCACTGGGCCATACTTGTCCCAATCCCCGTCGTGCATTCAATGATGACTTCATTATTATAGATTCTCATGGCGTCCACGAGGTATCATTGGATTTTTGTGACTGCACTCTGGCGACAACCCATGTACAACAACTCCTTCGCATGTCACTCTTCCCTTCAACTACTGCGGACCCCAAAACAGCCGCTACATTTCATCTTCTAGAAGAATTTCACCTCTTGTCTCTCGAGTCGAAGGTGTCTGCCTATGAGTTTTATTATGCACTGATGCGGAGGTCTGATAACACGGGGATCAGTCCTATCAAGGTGGGTCCTACTCTAGCGCTCTGTGGGGACATTGACTTATTTCTCTTTAGGACCGATACAACTCATTCATGAGGATGATACATGAATGGCGTCATCTCAAAATGCTCAAGCGATCTGGGAGAGCACACGATCCCAACGGCATTGATGCAACAGCGGAGGGTGCATGCACTGTTCTATGTCCAGCCTGCCCACAGCCTGGGAAGAACTTACCATCCAACTGGAGAGAGGCCCCCCCCGCCAAAAGCTGGTTGTATGGCCTATTTGTGGCCATCAACGCAAACTTTCGGCTGAAATGGAAAGTCGTGTCAAAGGATAGTGTGGACCCTAGCCTTAGTAATGGCTGGGGATACTTCATTGAGGAAAGTGCATACAAGGCCTTCCTGAATGATAATTCTGATGTTAGCCAAGAGGTGAGTTTTTTTGGTAGTCGTTATTATCTATAGTGATACCCCATTAAACAGAAGTCTACTTGTTCGAGCCATTATGCGGTAAACATGGCTGATACTAAATCAAATCGTGGCCTGGAAGCTACAGGGCTTGGTACCATCAACTGTGCTCGACACAATATGAAGTTACTGACGGCAGTCGGGGACCTCCAGAAAAGAGAAAAGTAAGTTTGGTACACTTCAATTTCAGACACATGGGAATAACTACATCTAGATACATGAATATGGATTATTTGTTTTTCTCGACCCTTTGGCATACGACTGTCGATATTCTGAATGTCTCCTATGATATCGCGTGCCAGTGGAATAAGAATCTATGGTGCCACATGATGTCATTGCCCCCTTCCATGCAACTGAAATATGACGCCAAGAAAATCACTTTCTTTGTCCCTAAGTTTCATCTGCCGGCTCACATTCAACAATGTCAAACTAGATTTTTGTTCAATTTTTCACCCGGCATTGGACGAACAGATGGAGAAGCTCTGGAGTGAGGGTGGGCAAATATCAACCCCGTAGCATCGAGCACGAAAGAGATGGGCCCAGGCGCAAGACGAGACACGTTGGGTGGTTTTTTTGGGGATTGGAACTGGAGGAAAATCACTGGTCTACGTACATTGTTTTTATAGGGAGAAGCACTGCTTACTGATGCATCACTAATGCATGTACAGGTCACACAATGTTGCGTAAGATGAAAGATGCCTTGCTGGAATTATCAGAACATGAAGCGGCCCTGGATGACCTCAAAGAATGGCTGAAAGAAGAATACTCGGAAGCGCTGAGTAGGTGGAAAGAGGAAGTCGAGGCATGGGAACGTGATCCCTCCCAGCTGAACCCGTATGAACGAAGTGTAGAAAGTGAGTAGGACGGAATTATTTTGTGAATAGTATCTGATGTTACATCACACAGATATCACCCTTGCCTCTGTGCGTCTCGAACTCGCAAAAGAGGAGGCATCGGAAATAGAACTTGGTGGCTCCCACGTGCTGCATGAAGATTGTTCACCTAGCGCACTGATTAGCAGTGGCCTAGAACTCAAAGAGCAACAGTAAGTGATATCGATATTCAGCTGAATGAATATTTCCTAATAAAACGCTTCAGACGACGTCTTACAGCTGATAAGGTGGGTCTGGGCATTCATGTCACAGATACTCAAGAAGGAAAGCTCGTTCAATGCAGTAACAGTCTTCAGCGCCGGATTGAGGCTTGGGTCAAGGTCCAGGAATTATACATGCCAATGGTCGCAGCTCTACGACGAGACAAGGCCAACGGTGTCGTCGCTCCTGAATCTTTCCAGCTTTTGCTTCCTTCTCAGGTTGGCGGAACTGCTACTTGTGACCTCAAATTTCATACCATTGAGTGGAAACTTCAATATGCACAAGCTCACAATACCCTCCGCTCCCTACGTTCTAATCTCCGCGCACAAACTGCTGTCCTCAAGTACAAGGATCGGAATCTTCGCGGTCAAGGCGCCAACACCAGAGCACATAACACGCTCAAAGGGATTGATGCAAGGATTGAGGCAGCATCGACCCGATATCAGGATGCACGCAAGGCGCTGGTTATTCTCGCTCCCCTTGTCAAGGAGACAGGATGGCAGTCCTCCCTGCAACCACTCAATTGCAAAGATATCCGGGGAATGTCAGATCTCCTGTGGGGCCAGACCGAGGGAAGGCGCAAGCTGTCTTGGATTTGGAATATGTGGGGTGCACATGGTGATGAGTTAGGCAATGATGGATCTATGAAAGGTATGTGTGCTTACGGGTTCATTACTCCACATTATCTGACTTCAGCGCACATCATCCAGATATGAGGATTGAATGGTGTAAAGCCAGGGCACCCGCAATGCGGTGGAAGGAAGAGGTTGAGTTGTTATGGGAGGAGATGAGGAGGATCCTACAGTTCTTTGATTGGCAAGCCACGTCTTGGGATGAGCACGTGAATCAAAGCGGGTCCGAGAGTCCCACAGAAAGAGAAGGCGAGATCACATATGCTCGACGTCAAGCAGCTTTGCGTCATGCACTGTCAGTCGCATGTCAGTCCAGTTGGGAAGTCTAGCCTCAAATTCACCCCCAAATGTAATGTACAGTGTTGTAGCTATGCAAATGATATAGTGTGGTGCAAGCAAAATATGAGGGACAGTTGAAAGGTGGGAGGAAGCATCAATGGAAGGTGGGAGGGAGCATCAATGAAAGGTGGGAGGATGCATCAATGAAGGGCAGGAGGGAGCATCAACAAAAGGCGGGAGGAAGCATCAATGAAGGGCAGGATGGATGCATCAATTTAAGGGAGGGGGATGCATCAGTGAGCAGCAGAGGGATGCATCAATGAAGGGCAGGAGGGATGCATCAATTTAAGGGAGGGAGATGCATCACTAGAATGCATCAATTTAAGGGAGGGGGATGCATCAGTGAGCAGCGCAAGGATGCATCAATCTAAGGGAGGGGGATGCATTAGTGAGGAGCAAAGGGATGCATCAATTTAAGGGAGGGGGGATGCATCAGTAAGCAGTGGGGGATGCATCAATAAGCAGTGGGGTGATGCATCAATCTAAGGGAGAGATGCATCACATCATACAGGGTACTACTGGAGGGGGCATGCATCACATATACATCAAATGGCGTTAGAATTGTAGCGCTGTTGCATCAAAATAGTGTTACAATTACAAGGATTAATGCATAAATATGACAGGAACCTGTCCCTTCATAATGGTGAGCATTCTGATTTACCATGTAGCTATCCCTCTTTTTCTGATGATGGCAAGGCAGTTTGCGTAATTCCTCCTGGTCACATCCTTCACAATGGTGAGCATTCTGATATTCCATGTAGAGGCCATAGTGTCATATTTATTGATACAATACTGGGGATGGTAGAACATGAGTTATGCATACTGGCCAAGGATCCCTGACCCCCTACAAAGTATGCATACTCGGGAGGATCACTGCGAGAAGCATCTGTTATGATGTGAAAGAGAAATAGCGACTAGGCTGGTTAGAAACTAGTGCTACTTACCCAAATAGGCGCAAGTGTAGTGTTCGACCCAAGAGGACTGCTATTGAAGCAACTCCCTTCAAATATGCAAGGGTAGCGATGAGACTCCGACACCAGCAAAGGTCCGGGGAAGGGAAGTACTGTACTGTATGTGTGACGGGCCATCTTATCATACTGCGTAAAAGTTCGGGAATGCGTAGGCGAGAATAGTAGTGACACTGGCGAGAGCACGATGTAGCGACAGGTAATAAGACATGCAGCACAGCGGAACATGAGGATACATGTAATAAGACCTGCGACTGATGAGTAGCAGCATTGAAGGAAAAATAATGCACCAGCAGAGGTAGGTGGACATAGGCAGGACATGGGACGACGGAATACCTAGGCGTCGGGCCAGGCAGCGCGCTATGGGAGAAAGCAGTTCCAAAGCGGATAGCTTGGGAGCTGAATAGTGCTGGTGACTAGTGCTTTACTCCTTTCCTCAAGGTAAGGCAAAATGTGCCTATGACACTCATACACGCCTAGCGCTGGTATGATTGTCACAACGAACTAGGATAGTTCTGACGTATGGCTACTCAATAAGAGTAATCGGCCAAGGTCGGTTCAAGGCTCTGACGTATACCAGAGTTCAATGGTTTACTAAGGCAAGACAAGGAGAGTGTCCTCGACTTGAATCAATGTTTAGATGACTTAAGATTGGAGGTCTTAAGCGAAGGAAGTTCCAGGTAAAACCTAGTAAGATTAAAGTAAAGAACTACATAGTACAATGCAGGTTTATATAATGAATGGTAAGTGCTTTAGGGCAGGTACTACGGAGTCAGAATGAGTCAGAGATAGCAATAATAGATCATCTAGCGATGGCTTGATAGCGATCGTGATGTAATACAATGATAAGAAGCAATAAGTCTAGCGACGGCTTGATAGAGATCGTGATGTAATACAAGTAGGTAAGAAAGAACAAGAGAAAATGAATAGGGGCGTACTTGATTGTAACAGCATCCAGTTGGACTTCCGGTATGACTGCACCTTCTCAAACTTCTCGGTCGTCTCCAAGTGTCCTAATTTGGATACACCGGAACCACTCGTTCAAAATATAACTGATTGGGTTCTTTTCTTCTTCTTTCGATGGTTCTTTTCTGGCTGCCCTCCCGCACCACCTATTGGTGCCCTCTGGCACCTACCGCCACCCTCTTGTACTGTTGAGGTAGCTGTATACGACTATGAGCCCAGTGCTCATGATGATCCTTTGGTTCAGCTCTTCATAGATGCTGTGGAACTTGCCATTGCTGTGATGACCCCCATGGCTCCATGCATTTGCGTCCCACATTCCCTTGCCCTTGTAGCAACTCTCTTGCCCTCCTGCCCTTGCCCTTGTAGCAACTCTCTTGCCCTCTTTTCCTTGGCTACTAGCCTACTGCTGATTCTGAGCGCTACCATCCCAGGCCTTCGAACTTCATGACCCTCAGGCACCGCTCACTGCACTTTTCATGGGTGGTTTCATTTATCATGGATCTAGGGTCTCATGGTCATTGGTGTGTACTTTCTGCATATATTGTAGCACGCCTGATCAGATGAGTTTTACTATGACTAGTGTCCACCAATAGCTGCTGACTCTGCACACACCTGGCGTGGCCCAAACTTACAAATGTGATGGGCCTGCCAATACTGCCACCAGCACAACAGTACACCCCCATGGGCCATGTAAAAACGATCCGAGTTAACACTATTTCTACTAGTAATAGTAGTACTTGCTTTCGCATCTACTAGCTTGGCCGTTTGTCTCAACTCCAACTCTCAAATATTATTTGGCTCATCCTGGATCTGCGGTTGATGGAGTATTGAACTTGTTGAATTGTATACAAGAGTAGCATTCAATCTCTTACCAACTGTAGGGGACAACTCACATTGAATGGTAGTACATGATGTCATTAATTTTAACGCAAGTAGTGTCTTTTGTCGAAGTGCATATGATAATTGTCCTGAAGTAGTGGCTGTGCGTGCTGTTCTGCACTGTTCAACATACACCATAATGCACGTGTCCAATGTTTCAACAGTCTCAATATTATCTCCCAGCAGTGAGCACCACATCATATATCACTTCTCGAGTAACCGAACCAACATTGTCCCACAATGTTAATCAATACTTTGGGAGTCCAACGAGCACGCACTAAATACGTTGATACTTTTTGTAAGTCGTTCTTTTCATTTTCAACAGGTTTGTCTCCTGTGCTCCTTCAATCGGTTTCACTGACTCTGCACCTCCCAAACCTCTTGAATTATTTCACACAGCTATAGCTACCATCATCAGCACCTTCCCTGCACCCAAGCACCTCACCTCCATGCATGTATGATCCGTCGCCAACTCATTCTGCCTTGCTTTTCAGCTCACTTACTAGTATAGCACAACTTACATGAGGTCTTGCATGTTTGGACTTACAGGTGTGTTTTTCTCATGTATTTACTATGTATCAGCATGACTTACAGACATTCAACCTAGCACACAGCCCCAGGACACATCAGCGCTCACTGACATGGCACGAACATATGTGCACAGCAACCAGGGGTCAAGGTTTGGTGCATTGGGTATCCTTTGCCATTGCTGACCCTCTCATCTGTCACACTATGCTGACCATCACTGACCCTTCAAAACTATAATCGCATTTCCAACAAGACACCTCAAGTTTATCCAAGGCAGTATGATGCAGGCCCTCTTGTTGATGCAGCCGAAGATTAGTGTTGCTCGCGCAGATGCTAAGGACATCAATGTAAGTCATTCACGTCACCATAGTTTCAACTCAGATGTCTTCCACTCCTCTCGTTCTGGCGCCTTCCGGTGTCATTCGCATATGTTTGAGCCACATCAGCATTCGCTGATGTGTGCTGGGCATGTGTGCTAAGCATTGGCAGCTGTTGGGATTGGGTGGGGGCAGTAGACGGTGGTCTGGATGCTGCTGGTGGTGCTTGCATACCCATGGGTATACGCATCATGGGTATGTACCTGTAGTGAGAGCCCCTTCAGTGACAAATCCCGTATTATACGGGTCACCCGACCTACATAATATCCCGTGTAATATGGGCCAGCGGATTATGGGCCGATGTTATGTATATTCCCGATGTTGACGGGTGGGCTGGGAGGCATATTATTTCCGATGGAGACGGGTGGGCCCATCTATGCTGATGTTATATATATCATCGACGATAGCGGATGGGCCGGGAGAAATATTATTATGGAGATGGGTGGGCCCATGTGGGTAATATGTAGAGTAGGATTGACATATATTATAGACCTGAGGAGAGATGTATAGCAAATAGTATTATATAGACGTGTGGGCCGACGTATTAGTATTATTTTGTAGACGGATGGGCCGAGGGAGCGGTGAAATATTTATTAGATAGACAGGTGGGCCGACGTGGGGTAATATCAGATAGACGGGTGGGCCGAGGGTGAGGGGAATTATTTATTACATAGACGGGTGGGCTGAGGGTGAGGTGAGTTATTTATTAGATAGACGGGTGGGCCGACGTGGGGTAATATCAGATAGACGGGTGGGCCGACATGGGGTCATATTAGATAGACGGGTGGGCCGACGTGGGGAATTCTACATAGATGGGTGGGCCGACGTCGGGTAATATTAGATAGACGGGTGGGCCAAGGGTGAGGTGAATTATGTATTAGATAGACGGGTGGGCCCAGATACATATCATATAGACAGATAGGCCTAGGTATTGTACATTTTTACGAGTTTCGAGGCTCGAGTTAAGAAAATTCAAATTCAAGATGATATACATTTTTGTTGTCTTGAAATACCGAGACCCGAGACCCGAGATTCGGCACTCGGTAGTCGGTGAAATGAGTACAGAAATACATAAGATAATACACATTGTTCTCAGAAATCACAAGTTTCAAATGTCGATTTGTAAATCACGAGTCACAAGTCTCGAGACTCGAATCACCGAGTACCGAGTACTGAGAACCGAGTACTGACACCCGACACCCGGAATTCGGCACTCGGCATGCGAGACAAAAGATTGGAAACAAAACTCAAAATTCGAGACTCGAAAGTACT